GGAGGATGTGCGAGGGTTCTAGGAAGAGAGGGGTACAAAAGCTTAGTTCTGGCAGCTCTGAGGAGTGAAGAAGCTGAGGAAGAGGACGGCACATACATGGTGACGATCACGCATCCAAAGACAGGATGAGCTTAGTCAGGATCAGGATGGATGCAGCGAGGGAAGGGGATTGGTGTGGAAAGGAGGAATGGAGCAACTCTAATGGCTTGTGGCCTCTTCTGCAACTATAAAAGGGGAAGCCAAGTTTAGGGGCGTGTGGCGAGCAGCTGTGAACTAGGGCTCCGTGCCTTGTTCGACAATTCCACTGTGGTTTCGGCATATATTATTATTTTTATTTTTTATTAAAAAAAGCCTAAAATTATAAAATTTAAAGTAAATAAAGAAAAACAAACGAGGAAGAAGGACATCAATTCTCCGTGCTTTGTCTTGGACTCCGCAAATGCTCCTGGCCAATCAGCTTTTACTTAGTGTTTTTACTGAGTTTTTATTATTTTGGACAGGTTGCAGTATTGAATTTCTAATTCTAATTCAAGTCAAACCTCCCACTTTTTGGACTGAATCATTGGCAATGACAAAGAATAACGAGAACATGACTTGTTTGGAATTGCAAGGCGTGAGGAAAAGGAAAATTGAGTATGAAGGTATGATTATAGTTGAGGATGCTGAGAGGTTTACAACCCCTGAATTTGGTTTTCTCCCTCTGGATAATACATTTATTGCTCTTAGTATGCCAGTAATGTGGCTTTAAAGGGTTAAAAAAAGATATGGCTTTAAAGGGGGCACACAATAATGGGGATGAAGTAGCGTAGCAGGAGATCTGATGCCCCCTTGCAAGTGGCAGATTTTCCGAAGTTGTCGGCCTGTGGCGTGGGGTCAAGTTGTTTCGTTCAACCATCCCTTCAATGCTGCGGGAAGCTATTCTGTGATGGAGCTACAATTGCTCCCTCTCTCACTCCCATCTCATCCAATGTGTATTGGTAATTGATTATTTTTAATATAAATTTAATATTCCTAATCGGTAATTAGTCAGTAATCAATCACTCAGTGGGGGAAAAAAACTCAAGCTCCTATTTTCATTACTCGTATTTTACTGTTTTTCATCAAATTCCAGTGACAATTTTATTTGATCGATCCATTTATTGATTGCCATGTGGCTACAAACTGTGATGGAGTTTTTTTTTTTCCCATCTCCTTTTTTGAAAAACCATCCACTGCTCTCCGGTCCCAGAATGTGAGAGTGATCGATGATTGGAATTTCAATATTCAGATCAGATCAGTCATGAACAGTATGTGCTTCAGATACTTTTCCCCGCACGTTTAATAAATTACTGCCTCGTATTTTTAATATAAAAGCTTTTTTAATTTTTATTTTTAATCTTAAATATAAGATCCCAATTCATTTTGTCTCTCGTGTTTATTTTTTTCAAGATAATCCTTATAATGATAGTAATTCTAACCAATACATTTGATTACCAAAGATATTTTAAGAAAGACAATACCTATTTATTACAAATAACTAGCTTAATTGGTTTTGCTAATCTAGTTAAATTAGTCAATTGGGTTGCCAATTGACTAATTTGGAGAGATTAAGAAAATTAGTTTAAGATTTAGGGTTTAGGGTTTAGGTAATTTTAGTTACTGCCTCCGCTCGTTAGTATAAGGATTAGTTGACTAATTTAACTATATTAAGAAACTAGTTAAGTTAGTTATTTGTAATAAATAGGTGTTGTCTTTCATATAATATCCTTATTAACCGTGTGTATTAGTTAAGATTACCATTTGATGAAATATTTAAAATGAGATAACTACTGTAAAGATTATTTTAGAAAAAACAAATAAATATAAAAGATAATGAACTTAGATTTTATGGTTATGACCAAATTAAAAGTCAGACTGACTATTATATTAATAGGAGAATTACAATAAGGATCCAAGAAAGAAAAATAATTACTAAAAAATTCTAATAACAACTTAAACAACTTTTAATAACAAATTTATAAAAAAAATAATATTTATTATAAATAATTAATTTAACTAAGTAGTTATTTTCTCTTCTTAAAATCTCATTATAATTCTCTCTGCAAAATTTGGGGGACTCGAAGCACCGTAACAGTGGGAGGTGCAGGAGGGGTGATATAGTCATATAGGTGCGATACAGGGGATGAGAATCACCCACACGTTGACGATTCCCTGCATACGATTCTTCTTTTTCTCTCTCCTTGTGGCCTGTTCGAAACTTGTTGGAACTTTCCGACCTAGAATTCAATTTAGGGTGTGTTTGGATGAAACCAAACCGTGGTTTGGAAAAGTGATTCTGGAGAATAGATTCTGGGGAGAATAGATTCTGTGAAGAATAGATTTTGTAAAAAAATGATTCTGAGAAGTGATAGTGTTTGGATAGTTGTTATCAGAAGCACTTTTTATATATACAAATTACTAAAAAAAAGACATAAGTTATTATGATAATTACAGAAAAAATAGATTTTATGATATATTTTAATTTGAAGGAATAAAATTATTAATAATATATTTTTTACCAACATAATTAATAATACATAAGATAATATAATTAATAAATAATTAATGTGTATATATTTATAAAATATAAGATTAATGTGTATATATATTTATAAAATATAAGATTAAATATGTTTATCAAAAAATATGTTTATAAAAAAAATAACAAGATACATATCATATAGGCTCTCACACTCTCCCTTTTTTCTCCAAAAGCAAAAAAATTTTGCTTTTCCAAAACCATGGTTTTGGAGTCAAAACCATGGTTTTGACCCAAAACCATGGTTTTGGTTTTTAGAGGGGGTGTTTGGGTGATTGACACCCCAAACCATGGTTTGGGTCCCCAAACCATGGTTTGGGGTGTCACCCAAACACACCCTTATTCTTTGCTTCGTCTTTTGACGATATGCACTGCATATAAATAAAAGTCAGTCTATCCATCCAGATTTTTAATAAAATATCTTCACTTAATTAACTCTCTTGATCATCACATCCTGACGTTGCCATGTAAAAATGACACTATTATTATCACAATGACACGTCAACGGTTCTACGCAACAGGTTTAAAAATTTTACCCGGCACGGCGAACGCTTTTGAATTTTCAGAATTACTTTCAAAAGAGTAAACACGATGTTGTTTCTACCTGAGATTGTTTCTTATTATAATAATGAGCCCATTTAAAACAGTTTATAAGCAGCTTATAAATAGTTTTTTAATAATAATTTGTAGAATACGAGACAAATATGTGATAAGAGTTTTGTTCTGACTTATGTGAAACGTGTTTATAGAGAATTTCCTAAGCCCTCCCAGACAGGTCTAATGTTTGTCTAGTTAAACTTGTCTGCGTCAAAGTAAACGTGGGAGTATTTGGATGGAATCAAAATCATAGTTTTAAAAGTATTTTTACAATATATGAAGTAAATATGTGAAGAAGGCTGTTTGGCTTTATGGAAGAAGCATATTTGAGTGCTTCCAAACACTCCCCCTAAGAGAAGCAGTGTATTGGTGTTTTAAATAACTCACACAATGCGATTATTAAATGACTTGTAAAGAGAACCAAGAAAAAATAATCTCATGATAGTTGAAGAAGCGATTAATAAGTAACACTTTGTCAGGAGAGAGGCACTAAAAAATACTACCTTTGGTGCTTATTATAAAAATCGGTTTGACTTTTAATTTGATCCTGAATATGAAATCTCAATCTATTTTGTCTTTCGTATTTATTTATTTTTTTCTAAGTAGTCATTATAGTAGTTACATGTGTTAAATGTTTCATCAAATGATAGTTACTGCTAATATACATAATTAGTAAGTGTATTATAGAGAAGGCAACACCTATTTATGACAAATAACTAACTTAACTAATTTTTTTAATTTTTCAAATTAATCAACTAGATTTCATATTAAGAATCAGAAGTAGTATTTGGCACATACTCCTGACAAGTGAAGGAGACTGGGGCTAGTTCAAGGGTCTTCAATTAGTCGCGTAAAGCCATGCGTATTCAGTATAGTTGGAAGTAAATTTCTAATTGAGGGGTTCAAAAGAAAGAAGACTGCGTCATAAACCTCACGAGCGAGCCCAAGCCAAGCGCCCCCGTTAAAGTTTTTTTTTTTTTAGGCACAAAGACGTGAGTTTGAACTATGTTATAGGGTGTGTTTAGATGAAACTAAATCATGGTTTGGAGAATAGATCATGGAAAGAATAGATTTTGTAAAAAAATGATTCTGAGAAGTAAGAGTGTTTGGATAGTTGTTATCAGAAGTACTTTTTATATATACAAATTACTAAAAAAACATAAATTAATATGATAATTATATAAAAGATAAATTTTATGATATATTTTAATGTGAAAGAATAAAATTGTTAATAATATATTTTTTACCAATATAAATAATAATACATAAGATAATGTAATTAATAAATAATTAATATGTGTATATATGTTTATAAGATATAATGTTAAATATGTTTATAAAAAATATTTGAGAAATTTTAAAGTCATATTATTGTTGAGATCTACTCTGACAGGCACAATCATCTCTCCAATTTGGGCCAAAAGCAGAATGAATTCACTTCTCCTGAAACCATGGTTTTGGATTTCAAAACTATGGTTTTGACCCAAACTATGATTTCATATTATTGACCTAAAATTAATGCTGTTTGGGTGACATCTCACCAAAGCCATGATTTTGCCTCCCAAACCATAGTTTTGAGGGTCACCCAAACAGGCCCATAGGTAGAAATGGCATGGGGTGACTAAAGACGGAGAAGAACACGCTACATAATGCAACTATTGCATGGCAGGGTATGCAACACATCATATAAACGACTGTGATTATGTTGGGAGAGATGGTTAGATCAATTTATTAGGAGAAAATCTAGATAACATGAGATATGTAGAGAAAATTAATCGAAGCCCACTAAGTGCTTGGTAACTGGAGAGTAGCATATTTCTCCATGAAATTTTATACTACTGCTTTACATGTTAAATTTCCTTAACAAGGGAAATGCTATAAAATTATTTATTGCAAAATTTATTACTTAAAAGCTACCTAAAATCTATTTATTAAAGATCCAAATATAGCCTGTCTTTAGCAGATGCAGCTCTTTAAATGTCTGTAATTTATCTTATGCCATGTGCAAAACCAAGACATTTAGATATAATTGTGAATATATCACATACAGTTGAATAAGAGTTCCAGTACATCTGTTAAAATAATATTGGATAATAAACTTTGCCGCAGAAATTTTTTTTAACAATTTTTAGTGACGGACAATAATATAAAAATATATAGCCATGATGATGCTGCAGCACAAGTCGCATCATCCTGTCTTCAAATGTTAGGTGCAGAAAAAATTATGCAAACTTTCATTTTAAATATTCACGAGCATATATTTTTTTGTTTTGATTTTTATACGCATTCATATGGCGCTTTTTTTTTTTTTTTTGCGCCAACGCGGTAGTAGTACTATAAGGCTATAAGCAAACCGGCCGATGCTGTAATGCCGTGACACGCGTCGGCTGCAGGTGAAAGCCGGGCTGGGAGCCCAAAAGGTCTCAAATGTCAACTCAGGAAGTCACCAGTCAGTATGTTTTTTGAAAATTTCCCCCAACCCGCTCTTTATTTCTCATCCTTCCCTCCTCCTTCCTTCCCGCCTCTTTTTGTCACCACTCTCGCAATCCCTAATTTCTATCCCGCTCAATCCACATCTCCATTATCGATCCCCAATATCTCTCTCTCAGCTTGACCCTCGCTTCACCATGAACCGTAGAACCAGAGCCCTCACCAAGTCGCCCTCAGCCAGAGCTGAGCAGTTTCACAAGTACCTTAAACCCGGTGCGCTGGCCCGAATCAGAGATTCGCGGATTAGCGCTAAATCGCACCGGCTCAACTCGCAGTGCCAGATCTCTCCACACCGCGCCACACCTCCGCCTTCTCCTCACTCAACCGATGGTCAACCTCAGATTGTCGTCGGTGATGGTTTTCCTTGCTTCGTCGGGAGGATCTTTGGTCCTCGGTGTCCGCAAAGGAAGAAACTCTTGGCGGTCAAGTCCGTCTTGTATATAAGTACTAGCCCTTCGAATCCGGCTCCGGACTCACCTGATCTGATTATTGATTCATTTGGCAATGACATTCTTGTCGCTAATTGAATGTAGTTTACATTCTGTTGAAAATTCTGGGATTATTCTGTTGTAGAATGTAAAGCAGTTTAGATGTGCAGATGGCCATACCCTTTTTGGCACTTTGTTCATTGACGCGAGTAAAATTTCCCTGATGAAACTTCAATTAATAAAAAGAACCTTCAATTTCATGTCAAGTATTGCTTTTTGAGTTGTGGCATTATTCATAGTTCATTTACGAGTATTGGCGTTTGGAATTAAATTCTCATATGGTTGGGTGATTATACTCCAGATGGGAAAGGAAAGAACTTGGGTATGGTTTTCAGTTTAGATCCTTGTAGAGTTCTTGAAAATTATAAATGCAACGATGATATTGTTTATTAACCTTTTCACTACTTTAATTGCACGCCCAAAATTTGGCCTGAATGTCCAATTTAGAGCATTTACATGTTATATACCAGCTACTTATCGTTGTTATGTGTTGAAACGGGTGATCTCTCGAAGTTGTAAAGCGTGTGCCCTGTGCTTGTAATGCTGACAACGAAATCCTTTGCTTGACTTTGTTTTTGCCTCATTTTTCATCGTATAATTGGTTTTGCTCAGGCTGGTGATAAGAAGAGAGGCTGAAATAAAATTAAGCCTTATTTTGATGTAGTCGCATCAAGGTTGCCGGGGAGTCACAGCTGACATGTTTAAAATAGCTTCGCTCAATGAACTAACTCCAGACCCATCTGGGGCTCATTCGGTTCTTTATTGGGGAGGTCTCAACTGTTTACTTTTGAAAGCGCAGGGAAGTTAATTCTTGTTCGGATGGTTTAACATGGCACTCTGATGTCTAAGAATCAGGAATTTAGTAAACGCATAACTTGATAAATGAAAGGATCTTTGTGCTTCATTGACACACTAGAGGTTCAAAATTGCATCTTATTCTTTCAGCATGTCTCGTTTAGTTTTCTTCTTCATAAATAATTTTTATCAGGACCACATCTTACCATATTTTGCAACTGTGTTAGTTGTGGCATGCAAATAATTTTGTTTTGCAAAATCTTCTGTGGTCAATGTTTACTCTGAACATACACAGTAACAAGTTAGCTGGTTTTGCTTCTAAATTATTATGTTATGTTCTTGGCATGTTTTAGACTAATATGAAATAGCTTTTTTTTTTTTTTTTTTTTGTGGTGGCTCATGCACGTATCATTTGAACTTCCTGTTTTACTGGTTTACAAGGTAAACAATGGCTACTAGTGTTAGATGTGACCTGAGTGACATTTTGTTGGGATCATTCTCATAGCAACAGATACTTATGACCAAAGATTTGTTTCAAGGGTTGTTTTTAATCAGTTTACCTTGTGGAAGAAGTTTTGGTAAACATGTACGGTTTTGCCTGGCATCTTGCTTGAAAGTTTTAAACCTATAAATATTTTACGCAACCATACACTAGCATGCATTCTCTTGCAGGACGAACAACAGTAACTTGGTAGCCTGCTTGTGCTCGGTATTCAGTCCTTTCGCACATATTTCATGTCAGCTGTAGCAGTGTTCCTCTCCTGATCTTGGTATTGGCTAATTTGTTTCATAAGCATGAAGTTCTTAATATAATTGATTTCATGATCCGTTTGGAAAGCGGCTATAAGGAGCGTTTTGACCAGATTTAAGCATCATGCCGCAACCAATAAACCATAGTTTATTTTAGGCTTACTATAGGCTGTAGTGTTTCTAGTGCATGCTAAATGCTTGATAGAACTTGCCAGGACGAGCGCAAGACTGCAAGAGGAATGAGAAGGAAGAGACCCTATTGCACTCATCGGGTCTCAAGGTTGACGTGCCTTGTACTTCTAAGTAACAAGAGAAAAAGAACAAAATTTTTCTAAACAAATAATCAAAATATCAATATATCTATATATAACAAAATTTATATGAGGTCATATAAATCATGAACATTGATTATTTGTTTGACTCAATTCAATATTAAGAAATGTGTATATGGATAAGTGATTAAAGATTTTAATTTTTAAGCCATGCGTTCTTTTTAATTGCTAAACAGTAAACATGATTCAGTAGAGATTACATGGATAAAATTTTTGAAGTATTCTTTTTCTTTTATGAAAAATTAATGTGCTAAAGTCTGAAAATTTAGCATCACATTAATTTTTCATAAATTAATGAGTTGGACTTAAGAGAAATAGATAAATAGTGTTATAATAATTTAATAAAAGGATATATAAAAATAAAATAAAAATAAGAAAAAAAATTTCAGATCTCCTTCTCTATTTTTCCAACCAATTAAAATATCTCCTCAAACCCATCATCAGTTTTTCGGATCTTCATACCATGACCTGGAATCTTGGATTTTCCATGAAAGTTTCTCTCTTCCCTTAGAAAAAAGATGATTTACATAAAAAATTGAGAGGCCAGTCCACAGTCCCACAGCCACAGCCCTTCAGCCCAACGTGTCCGCGTGTCGCCTTCTCTCGTGCTGTGTTTCACAGAGGACTGGATCCACGCGGTTAGTGGTCTGTAAAAACCGCAAAAGCATCGTCGATCCAAACCAAAAAAAAAAAAAATGTCGAAAGTGTGACTGTGATACTACAACGACGTCGTTAGATAGTGAACCGGACGTCCGGCTTAATTTTACCGTACGGGGAGAATTCTTGCTCCCTTTCAGTCGCGGAGGGCAGGTCCTCCTCCAATCCAATCACGCACAGCGTTGTAAGTAAGCCAAGTAGTGTTTGCCGGCGAAAATAAGCTCCCAACAATGGCCGAACCCAAGGTTAAATACGATCGCCAGCTCAGGTGCTGCCTCTCACTTTCTCTCTGGCCCTCCGACGTTTTGTTAGCTTTCCACTTCGCCCTAACTTCTTATGCTTGAACCTACTCAATGCTATCAACTCCTCGTCTCCTGTCTTCCCTCGCTCTTTAGAAACACTACACGTGAAACTTTTCCAATCTCCTTTTTCTTTGTAAACCTAAGCCTTTTTAGGCTTCTATGTTTGGATACGTTTATCGTTTGTTCTTGTTGAGGAAGAAACAGTGAAGAAATTTATCATGAACACTGTAACGGTTTTGTAGAATGTTTCTGGCTGGAAGTCAGTTCAGTATTAGTTGCTGTCTCGTTAAATTAGGTAAGATATCAGTTATTTGATAAGTTGATGATATGATCAAGCTGAGATGAGGTGACTGTAATGGATCTTTGCTTGTAAAATTTATGTCCTGATCCTTAATGGTTGCGACAATAGCTGTCCTTCGTACCCATTACCGGAGAAGGCTGAATACTTGATTTTCCATATCTCTGTTTTAGTGCTTTCTTTTATCTACACTTGCACAATTGATTTCCCTCATTAATTTCCAGCTCGTTGCGTCGGTAGGATGAAATAGTTTCGAGTTTTAATTTTTTGTGGAACTATTATCTTCAAACTTTGAAATTAAATTTTCTATCTGCTCATCATCCTGTATTTTTGTGCTCTGTTGAAATATCTCAACATTCTTTCTATTCTACCTTGTTAAATGCAGAATATGGGGTGAGCAGGGACAAGCAGCCCTAGAGAAATCTAGTATCTGCTTGCTTAATTGTGGTCCTACGGGTTCTGAAACTCTAAAAAATCTTGTACTTGGTGGGATTGGGAGCATCACTGTAGTTGATGGATCTAAAGTCGAAGAGGGTGATCTTGGAAACAATTTTATGGGTACAGTAACATCTTATTACTTCGTTTTGTTCTTTATCTCTACTTCTCCTCATCGTCTCTTTTCACTTGTAGTGGATGAATCAAGCATCGGGCAGTCAAAAGCAAAATGCGTATGTTCTTTTCTTCAGGAGCTGAATGACGCAGTTAAAGCAAAATTTATTGAGGAGTATCCTGAGGAATTAATTGAGACAAATCCATCATTCTTTTCTCAGTTTACTTTGGTAGTTGCTACACAGGTATGCTCATATGATTTTTACAATCTATGGCTTATGTGAGTATTTTGCTATGGTCATTGATGTCAAGTGTAATATATTAAATGGAACTCTTCAATCAACATTTCAGCTTGTGGAAGACTCAATGGTAAAGCTTGATCGAATTTGTAGGGGGGCAAATGTTATGTTGATCTTTGCTCGTTCTTATGGGCTTACAGGGTTTGTTCGAATCAGTTTGAAGGTATTATGTTGTAGGTGAATAGAAAACACTTCGTTTTCTTTGTTATCTTCACAACATTAAATGCATCATGTTCTAGTTTGGGGAATGGTCAGATACTCAGCTGCATGAGGAAATATGCAATAATTCTTATCATATTGACAGTTGACATGTAAAGGACAGAGCAAACAGAAACAATGTGGCCAATATGCAATTGATTTTATTTATAATAAGGGAAATAAAAACTGGGATAGCAATACAGGTGCTGTCAAGTCGGGTAACTTGCTTTTCCAGTTAAAGGTCAAAACTAGAAAACTGAAAATATTTGTACCACAAAGAGACATTTACTTGTGTGTGTGTGTGTGTTACTAAGGTTTTTTTTTTTTTTTAATAATAAAAAAAACTAGGAACATCCGGTGATTGAATCAAAGCCTGAGCATTTTCTGGATGACCTCCGATTAAATAATCCATGGCCTGAGCTCAAGAGGTAGAGTTCTTTGTTTCATGATGTAGATTTCCTCTTTTACTGTATCATCTGGTTTTAGCCTTTAAAACTTTTACCCACCTAGTTCTATGGGTTTTCTGAGAGCATAGATATGGTCCTTTCTCTTGATATTCTCATTGCATGATTTGCCCACTGTAGCCTTGCAGATAGCATTGACTTAAATGTTAAAGATCCTGTGGCCCATAAGCACATACCATATGTTATTATTCTTGTCAAGATGGCTGATGAGTGGGCCAAAAGCCATGGAGGTGCACTTTCATCAACCAGAGAAGAGAAAAGGGAGTTTAAGGTTCACTGCTTGCTTCTGTTTTTTTAGCCATTTGTTATGCTGTTGTTCTAGTTATATGATTAGCTTTCAATGTGATCGACTTAGGAGCTTATCAAAGCTAGAATGCTTGGGCAAGATGAAGATAATTATAAAGAAGCTATTGAGGCCTCTTTCAAAGTCTTTGCTCCTCAAGGAATCAGTAAGTATTAGCTGCAGTAACATCCTCATATTGCCTTACGATATATTCTGACACTTTTCTTTTAAGAAGGAGCATAAGATCTATTGACACGATCAAACATTACTTGAGTAATCTTTCATATTTATGGTGGTCCTTGGAATGTTGAGACTTAAGAGGCTAACTTTTTAACTTCTTTTATATTCCTGAAAAACGTTCTAGTTTCAGTCAGATGCATTTTAATAGTTTGTCCACAATTCCATTTCCTTCAATTTATTGTCAAAGAATGCAAAACAGTTTCAGATGGCACGACAATATTGTTTCTGTGAACTCTCAGGTTCGAGTCTTATAGAGTCCTTGAGTAGTGTGGGCAGGAGGTGAACTAAATAAGGAACAGTTGGACTATTTAAAATGACAAATCTCTTATATGCAGGTTTTGAGTTCCTAATTTTTAAGCTTTCTTATGAACTGGGCTTTTTCATGAAGAAAATTGTTTCTCTATCTTAAAAACTTTAACAATGTTAAACTTTGAATGTTTGTTAAGGAAGCATGTACCGTCATTTGTTGGAGGTGAGGGTCATCATGATGAACTCTTTTAAAGTTCCAAATTTTTTTCCTTGAAAAAAATTGATTTTGACTCAGAACTTTTGACTAGTTTTGAACATTTACTGCCTTGTTTCCAATTGAATTTATATTAGACTAAAATTCAATGACCATATACTTTTCAGGTTCAGATTTGCAGCAGATAATCAATGATAACTCTGCGGAAGTGGACTCTAATTCATCAGATTTTTGGGTGTTGGTGGCAGCTCTGAAGGTTGGTGCTTCTGGAATTGCTTGTTTGACCCCCCCGGGGGGGTCTTGACAAGGCCACATTTTATGACTTGTTTAATACCGTAATAAGTTGCAGTGCCAGGTGTTATTTATTTAAAGCCTGGGAAACTGTTAGGAGGATGAATAAAATTGGTTACAAGAGCTTGTCACAATTTGTTGAACATGCCAAGCTGGAAATATATTTTTCTCTTTATTTCATGGAATTCATATCCCTGACTGTTTGGTTTCTTAAGATTCAGTTGCATAATGGAATGCTTTTCATCGTTCTGCAGGAATTCATTGCAAATGAAGGTGGTGGGGGGACACCCCTTGAAGGATCTATACCAGATATGACATCTTCTACCGAGTTAGTAGCGAAATCTCTTGTCAGATAACTTTTATTTTCTCTCGAAGATGAATTATTTACCAGAATTATACCTACCCTTCTGTAGGCAGTATGTGAATTTGCAGAATATCTATCAAGCCAAGGCTGAAGCTGATTTTGTTGCAATTGAACGACGGGTGAGAAGTATTTTGAAAAAAATTGGAAGAGATTCAAATAGCATACCAAGGGCAACAATCAAAAGCTTCTGCAAAAACGCCAGAAAGCTCAAAGTAAGTGCATATAGTCAAATTGTTTATAGATGGCAAATGATGAAAGTATTGGAAAACTGAGATGCTTAAATTTGTTCTATGACCAATTTCCATGTTTTCTCGGGCTCTTTATTGTACAAGTATGTAAAATCTCAGTGTTCCATATGGTGTTTGGCAATTGCACCTGTATGTTGCAATAACCTTATTTGAACATATAATGTTCAATTTGAAAAAGAAAAATTTATCACCACTCTCTTTTCTCAGTTTATGTGACAAACATTTATAAGGAGTGGACTGTTTGGGACAAAACAATATGAATGCAAGATGCTCTAGGCTTTCCTTGTGTTAGTTATTGGCAGAGATTTTTATTGTTTTTGTTACTGATTTTGGCCAGTGCATGTTGAGTATGTTATAACTGGACATGTTCTTTTATCTAATATTAACCGAAGTTAGAGAATTTTGTGGGAGCAACTGCGGGCACAGGAATGTTTGAGAGTCTTCATGTGGACACTAATCTTTATTTTGCAGATCTGCAGGTTTCGCCTGATTGAAGATGAGTTTAATTCTCCAAACCTACCTGGGTTGCAAAAGTATCTAACTGATGAGGATTACAGGTTATATTTTGTTTTATTATTGATGCTTCTGGATAGGGGAAGGGGAAAAAAAAAAAAGAATCAGTCTGTGATGCTGAAAAATTAGTTTCCTGTTTTATATGTGTGCAGCACTGCCGCCGGAATTTATATTTTGCTGCGAGCTGTTGACCGTTTTGCTGCTAATTATAACAGTTTTCCTGGGCAATATGACAGGTAAGACGTGCTTCTGAATTTCTAAATATGTTTCTGCTATATTATGTTGGGATTCTTCATCAAAGTTCTTTCTTGCTTTTGTGGCTGATGTTCTTCAGTGCTATGGATGAGGACATACCTCGACTGAAGAGTACAGCTAGTGGCCTGCTTAATGACTTGGGATGCAATGGTGCCACTTTGGCGGAAGACCTTATAAATGAGATGTGCCGATTTGGTGCTGCAGAGCTCCATGCTGTTGCTGCTTTGGTTGGAGGAATTGCATCGCAAGAAGTAATCAAGGTTTGCAATTCTACGTCTGGCCTGTGATAGTGCTACTTTTATGTTCATGGTGTCGAAAGTAATGTGATCTGGGATAACTAATCTAAGCGAACACTGAAAGCTTGGTCCTTTCAGGAAAGATTGCTCTCTCTCTCTTTTTTTTTGGGGGGGGGGGGGGAGCCTTGTCCTTTCAGGAAAGATTGCCGCGCGCGCGTGTGTGTGAGCGTGTTATTCACTCAGCCAAAAATAGAAAAAAGAAAAATCTTGGATGTGGAACTTAAATTGCGTTTTCCTTTGCAGCTAATAACAAGGCAATTTGTTCCTATGTCTGGTACCTTCATCTTCAATGGCATTGATCACAAGTCACAGCTACTGTCACTGTAATTTTTTATTCAATGGTAATGCTTTACAATTATTCAATAGCCTCTGGGATGCTTCTAGCCTTACAATATCAAATGGGGCTGATGTTGATTTCGATTGGCAGATTTCCGGGGTCCAATGGAGTGGCATTCGCCTGTAACTGTGGTCTCCTTGCATCCGATATAGTGGTGCCCCTTTGAGGCATTTGTGGGTTTGTTAGGTGGAACGGATTTGTTCTTGTTCGATACGGGAGTTTTGTAACTTGTTACGGACGTGGATCTCAGATATAAACAAGAATAGAGAAGATTGATTTTTGGACATGATCTATTTTTTTAGGCCACTGCGTATGAAATTGAGGTATTCGCCTTATTCTGTTAAATGACGCCTTTCTTCTCCAAGGAGATATCAATCAATCGAAGAAGATTGAATGTCATCTCAGATAAATTTCCTTGTCCTGCTATGAACAAGCATATTAGGTCCCGTTTGATATGAGGTACTGAATTTTGGGGCACTGGGCATGGGATTGGAAATGGCATTGGGCATGGGATTGGGAATGAGATTTATTTTTAAAATCGTGTTTGGTGTGACGTGGGATTAAAAAAAACCCAACAAGGCCGATATCTAACAAAAATTAGTTAAAAGGCAAAATTGCCCACATATTCTATTGTTGTTGCGACTGCGGCCTTGATCGAACATGAAGATGGAAAATCGAATACCAAGAATGAAACACATATTAAATATCACATTGAAATCCATCTTTAATCCAAAGAAGCAATCAAGATTAAGAAGAAATATCCAGATTCAAGCACAAAGGAAATAAGGAAATCAAATTGAACTTGAATTCATGCTTTTTCGAACAGATCAACGATCTTGCAGGAGGAGAGTGTCGCTTGCAGATTTGGACATCTTCATGCTCGCCAAATCTAGTTTTAACATCGGGAATAGAGATGACGGAATCGCAAGGAAGGGAGGGAGATGACGGAGAGACGACTTGCCGAGGAAGAAGGTTGCTGACAAAATGCGGCAGAGGACAGAGTTAATGGAATCGCGATGAAGGGTGGTGATGACAGGGGAGGATGTTGCTGGAGAACAAGGTTGCTGATGGAATCTCACAGGAGGATAAAGATGATAAGGGGAGGACGTCGCCGAACTTTAATGGTTGCTGAGGGAGAAGAAGGGCATCAGGACTAAGTAGTTGATGGGGTGTAATTAAGCAAATTTTAGGAGGCTATTTTAGTAAGTAAACTTTCAATCCCAGGATTAAAATTGCAATACCAGGGGGGAGGGTGGTACTGGTCAATCCCATGAGCGTGGCATTGTGCAATCCTAAGTATTGACAAGTACTTTGTACCAAACATATCAAATTGAGTCATTCCCTGTCCCAATCCCAATCCCAGCCTCTCATTCCCACGTACCAAACAGGGCCTTAGGGTGCGCGGTGGTAAATTTACACATGGACACCTCTCCGGGATTATGGGCCTCAGAATCAAAAGCCCAATGTTGGTCCTTTGAACTAGGCCCACTGGGAGCAACGGTTGCTCTATTAGCAAAAGTTAGATGTTGATCCGAAAAAAATGGTAGAAGGAAAGTTAGAAATGGAACAGGGGAAAAGCTCACAAGGCTTGAGGAACGATAGCGAATCAAAGCCAACTTGAAATAGAATCACGAGATCCACGGCCTCATCCGGGAAAGTGAAAGAAGGTAGTTAGAATGAACCTTTGAAAGTTGTGACAACGAAATAAAATGAAGAGAGATATGCTTACGGCCTACCAAGTTGGACCTGGAAAAAGTGAACAACTTTGCATTCCTTCCCTTTCAATTTGGGGCAGGTTTCAATGGCCCTGATGAGTTACATTGAGGGTGGTTTTCATGCAGATCTTCTAATGTGTGGTCCCGATTTCCCAAGGCATTAATGTCGCCAATTATTTATGTGGCTCTTTCTCAAGTTATCATCGCATCACTCTGCGCCTGCTCCTTCCTCCCCTGCGATCTACACATTCATCATTGGTCACCGACTCACCGTAACCCATGCCACCGTTCACTTATCAGATTTCATATTCTGGTCTTTCTGTGTTTCAGGAAAATAATGGTCTTTTAAGAAATGGACCATATATCAGAAATTGAACTTGACACTAATTAAGGATTTTGGCATATAATAACAGGTTGAAGTCCCCTCGCCAGTCCGGCAATTCCCCGTGATGCAGGCTTTTGTCAACTTGATTCTGGTTAGTGCAGTGGACCCAATAATTATTTCTACGAGATAATGGGGATAAGATTAGAAGTAAGAAAAAGACGATCAATGAATGTTGGGGTCGAAATGAAATTAAAGTATAGTCGAATTAGTCAAATGTTTCGGCCATCCAGACGCGACATTACCATTGTGCAATCCAAGACGATCATATTGAGAGATTCGACCACCACAGCCATTTGTTGGTCAATTTATAGCCGATTTATTACAATTCTCCGCATGATAATATGCCTATTTCCCTCCTTAATTAACTTATAATTTTTTTGGTTCCCACATATTAACCTTCTCTTGCTGGCGAGTGATCGAAAAATGGTGAATAGCCATTATGTTTGACTGCTTCTCTTGCTATATCTATCACGTGTATTTGATAGCGATAAAAAGGAGAGTCTGAGTTTGACGCACCTTGTCTATAATGATGAAAAGCCCAGAGTGGGGAAAAAGAAAAGCCAGTGGCTTAAAATTATTTTACTTTTCTTCTCTTGCAGAAGCCTTATTCTGTAGAAACCATTACCATAATGGAATTTGAAGTAATTTCAGAGAGGCATTGTTCTCCGTCGAGAGTTGATTCTGAGAGCACAAGTAAACATCAGGACCACGTCTGGAAGTCACCGAAACGATGACTTCTTAGTAAGCTGGGAACATTGATAGAGATGTTCATGGTTCCATTCTTTTTATTATTTTAATTAAAATGTCACTTTCGTCCTGTTTAGAGAATATGACTCTTCGGGTTACGCACCACTGCAAAGTTAGTGACCAGAAAGCCCTTCTTTGTATTTTGTCGGCACATGCCTCCTTCTCCAAATGAAAGATTTTGCTTTGACCACTCTTGCACAGAAATAGCAGCCTTCACTCCTCATTAAACTACCTGCCCACGTCTCAAACACCCTTGTGAATGAAGAAAGTGTTATGCCTCAACTATTTTCCATTAGTACCATCTAAATCTCATTAATTACTACTCCTCCTACCCTAAGTATAGAAGTTAACTGGCTAGCGTATAAATATTAAAAAAAGTTAAGTTAGTTATTTATAATAATTGTATTTTAGTTTTCTTAAATGACCTCTTCTAATCATTATCTCATTAATAAAAACTCTGTTTAGTATATGCAATCAATATGGAGAATTTAAAAAAAAGTTTATAAATTTGAAAAACAAAATAAATTAAAATATTATATCTATCATCCAAGATAACTCTTGGCTAACTATTATATTTAGAATAAAAGTTATTCATGTTCGAAGGTTTGATTAGTGGTTCGAGTAATCAGACACTGCAGTCTACATGGTCACCAAGTGTTGTTTTATACTCGAAAATTGGAAGTCCAGGACATGCAAAGGAAACTGAAGTGAATCACCCAAAAAAGAAAGTAAGAAAGAGAAATTCCTCTCGCATTTATAAAATATTTCGTGGTCCTGTTTTTCATACTTGAGAGAAGTCAAGAACAGAGAGGAAGGGGACAATATATTGAGCATGACAAGGAACGTAATGATAGAGAACTGAGAAATGATTATCGATATTAGAGAAAGAAGGCTATACAGAGACCTTAAAACTTAACTCCCATGATTGGGTGACGGTAAGAACTAAGAAAGGTGCTTTATTTCCCATGCTATGCAAGAGAAATGCGTGGTTGCGAGAGACTGAGAGTTCATTCCTGAAAATTACTCAAACACTTGGGTGCCAGTGACTGATAATGACATCACTTTTCACTCACTTCTTCATTTATTATTCCCAAACTGAGTAAATGTCCATGCTGCCCCCCTAATCAGGATCCTCCAAACTAGGACACTGCCTCAAAAAATTAAATGTGTGGGGAATCATTGAAAATTGAAATGGAAGGGTCGTCCCATATGGTGTTAATGGCAGAAGGACATGGCGTCGTTGATAAGGGCATTCATTTCTGTCATTTATGAAAGGCCCAAATTCAATAACGACTGTGGGTCACACTGCCCTTAGTGTCTGGACCTGTCACCATATTGTAATATTGGCTTGGCGGGCAATAAATATTTCCCACGGAAAAAAAAAAGAAAAGTCCAACCAAATGAGGAAATAAAAGAAGAAATTTGTAGCGAGAAGTAACACAATAAAGAGGATTCTGTTTGTTTTTTCTTTTTGTTATTTTCTGGGGTGGCTTGATTAGTTGATTTAAATAATTAAATCCAGGAAAGTAGAGAGGGAATTGTGTGCAAGTTAGGTTAGATCTTGCAGATGAAAGTGAAGATGCGAAAGCAGTGGAGGTTGGTTTTCTTCATGGGATTAGAGTAATGAGCAAATCTTAGGAAAAGGAAGGGATGGAAAGGAAGTTGAGTGGGGCCTAAGATCCAACATTCCAACTCATGCAAGTGGAGGAAGCTATCATTAACAGTGTAATCTGTCGTGTTCTTAAAAAGGTTAAAAAAATCTGATTAAAGCCATGAGGGGGTCAATCATGCTCTAATGATAACCCCCAATTAGTATTTGCTTTAAAAAGCGTCATTATGTTACTGGAAGAGAGGAACAATGGTGGCCCCCGAAATTTCAGAGAGGCATTTTTTTTTTTTAAACACAAATGAACAAGATCCTTTTTTGACTGTACGATTTCTGTGCGAAGGAGGAGAAAAGCAGGGGCGGAGTGTGAGAAGGAAGCCATTGAAGAGTGTATGGGCAAAGCAATGAAGTGCATAGTGGTTATAGAAGATCTGTTAAAATGGCAGCCTTGTGTTGCTTCAAGACAGAATGAATCTCTAACATCACCAGCAATATCCTCTGTTTCAAGCAACCAACCCACTCTCAGTTTCTCTCTCTCTCTCTCTTCAATCTTTGTTTTTCACCCTGTTGGGGAAACTTGGATTATTTACTGAGCAGTAAAGCGTATGGGTTGGATTTTTGTATGAAATCATTTGTCTCTTGGATGGGAATATAGCTTTTAAATGTGCAACAATTTGACCCCACTCTATTATCAGCGTTGGTAAGTAGCAAGTCTCCTCTGATTTTGGGACATGGTTCGGGTAGCTCGCACGCATCTACATCCACACTACTGAATAGGAAAAACAGAATTGTAATTACTGTAAACGACAATATAAATTCTTGCATCGTTGGATTGAGTGATAAAGTTTTGTTTTTTGGAGGGAAAAAAAAACGAACTTGAAAAGAGTGAAACCTCAATTACATGCAAGTTCTGACGACAAAAGAACAGAACCCTGTTACGAATTACCTTCAATGGCGGACTACGTGGCTGAAGAAGAATAAATGGGCCTATTTAATTAGGGAACTTACTAATTAATTACAATTAGTGGGGTGGTGAGATTCCTTTCTGTCACTCCCAAGCAATGAGAATAAGTGAATTATAGTATCTTACACGTTGCCGACTCTGTTTTCACGCAGTGCTTGTCTGTCGCTGATTCCATTCCTGTTTTGCACTCCAATTTAGTTCTCAACATTTATTTATCTTCATTTCATTTCTTCAACGAATTTTTAATCCTGAACTTATGTAAACAAATCGAATTGGAAGGCGCCTGACTTAACGACAAAAGAGGAATTAAAAAAAAAAAAACACAGAGAGGGAGAAAGAAAGGGAGGTGATCTTGACTTGGCTACCCTCAAGTGGAGCAAGGAACCTTTCTAGATGTGTCACTCTCCATCTTTTACTGTTCTGTATTCTCATTTTATTCCATTCTCATGCAAAAGATCCACAAATTCCACTATGGATATCTTCTTTTTTCTTTTAGGAATCCATGATTTTTTCACTTGCAGAGAGCTTTCATGTGCTGCTAAGCATAAAGCCACTGGCTCCACCATAGATATCTACATACATATGCTTGTCAGGGATGGTTTTACTTATTTATGCTTGTTGGGTTTCTGATTACAAATTCAAAAGATGTATTGATTGAGATGAAAGAGAAGCCGGGTTGTTGAGTTGAACGCTACAAATAAAATAGCAGAGGGGAACGTGGACACGTGGTTGGAAGACTGAGTATGGAATAATGACAAGGGAGGAGGGTATAAATGTAATCACAATAAACTGTTACGGTGGGGGGGGGGGGATCATTTAAGCGATTGGTGGTGGCGATAACGACAGTTTGGTAAAATGAGAAAATACAAAACGAGGGAGGGCGGTTAGTCAGTCTCCTCCCTTCTGTTCAACGTCCCTTACCTGCAAAGTGTGTGAGAGAGAGAGAGGAAGAGAGGGAGAGAGAGACCAGAAAGTGTTGGAACATAAGGATAAAGAGAGGAACGAACATCAACTCACAACTTCTTCTCTCTGGTTTCTAGGCCTTTCTGTCCCTCTCTCTTCATCGTTCTGACGGTTTCGTTTTCGTATTTGCTTTCTCCCCTGCGTTCTTTGATTGCTTGTGCTTCTTATCCTCCCCTTCCTTCGATTTGACTTCCTCTGATTTTGATTCGGTCGCTGCACCTTTCACATGGCTTTTCTCTATTGAGTCCGAAGTTGGAACGTAATTTCAGCCTCCCGGAAGAAACAATGACTTGGAAAAGCAGAGGTGAGCAACCTTCCAGGAGCCTTGTGTCGAAGAAAGGGGCTCTTTTTCTTTGTCTGGCAAGTTTCTGTGCTGGGATGCTCTTCACCAACAGGTCTCGAACTTCTCTATACTTTGTTTTGTTCAATTTTTCCAAACGTAATCTCTTCTGGTCTTTTCACAATTTTATTAACTGTTTCTGAAAATGTATTCCAGCAATTCTTTCATGGGAAGCCTACTGAGGGCAGTCTCTTATATAATTCGTGTTCTCAGATCATAATACTTCATTCATTCTTATAACTTGTATGATACTGGGTTTTCAAGCGTTTCATTGATTGTCTTGCAAGAATTCCGAGTTCTGGATGCTTCTCAATTTGGAGGATTTTTTTTTTTTGGGCCGACCTCAGCTTGAGAAGTTTGATTTTGAGTCCTTCCAACTTATATGTATTCAGTTCCCCTACCTCTTTTAATATCTGAAACTTCTTATTTCGGAGTCAGCTCTGTTTTATAACTTGTCATTATAGGTGCATCTCAATTCATAGCAGAAGTGAGGATAGATCTGATATGGATTGGCATGTATTATTCATACACACGTAAATTCTTGGGCTTGAGATGCATTCCTTTGCTAATTCGGTAGTTGACTTTAAAACCAGTCGACTCTGGTCAGCTCCGCTTAATTTCGTGATAATTGAAGTCTTCGTTCAGTTGTCACTAGTGATATTTAGGGAGCCATGTGCAAGCTCAAATACCGCTCATTAATTAAAATGAAATAAATTAATTGAATAAGTATAAAGATTGGAAAAAAAAAAAAGGAAAGAAATTGTTGAATTACTTCACTTATCTGATAACCCTCCATTATTCTCCATTCCCTCATCTCCTTCATGAGGAAGGCACCTCAATATCAATTTATTAATTTTCATTTTCAGTTAGTCTTCAGCTGTTTGCAACTTAAGCCGTTAATTTCGATTTTATTAGTTTAAAAGATGAACTTCAAATTTTTGGACCATGGTAGTTAGTTATTAATTAATCACAGTCCAACGTCTTTGGAGGTGTATTAATTTTCTTTTTCAACACACCGAACAGTTTTAAAACAAAGTCGTAAATATTGGTGAGGAGGTGTTAAAAACTTGTACTATACTTCATTGTATCAGATTAAACGTTAACATGGCGACTGATTTATAAGTCGGTTTTTCTGGTACTTGTCTGATGAAAAATGTAAATGTGTCAGGATGTGGACTATTCCCGAACCTAGAGGGCTTGCAAGAACAACAGCTACGGAAGCAGAAACATTGAATGTGGTCTCTGAGGGTTGTAATTCAAGAATTGTAAGCAATTAAGCATCACTTTCGTTTACTTCTCTTGATTACACTCAAGTTATGCTTACTAGGAGGGAAAATGGGATTTATTTCCCACCTGCCTGTATGGCCATTTCCACTCCTAAGCAGCATAGCCTTAATCAGTATGTAGTACCTTTAAATCTAGCACTTTATGTTCATCCTTCTAAAATTTATGTATTATCTGTTGGCCTCCCTTCAGTTGCAAGAGAAGGAAGTGAAGCGTGACGCTAAAAACACATATAAGGAAGTTTCCAAGACTAATAATGCCATACAGTAAGTTGAATAACATGATGTTGTTCCAAGTCCAAAAATTTTTGTTACTTGGTCCGCTAGACTTATTCGGCTGTATTATTAAATGCAGAACTTTGGATAAAACAATTTCAAACCTAGAGATGGAATTAGCTGCTGCAAGAGCAGCTCAAGAGTCTATTAGAAATGGTACTCCTGTATCAGAAGATCTTAAGAGAGCTGAATCACCTGGTAAGAGAAGGTACCTGATGGTCATAGGAGTAAATACTGCTTTTAGCAGCAGGAAAAGAAGAGATTCAGTTCGTGCCACATGGATGCCGCAAGGTTTGTAATTTGAAGCCTGTTTTCTGATCTTCTCTTCATGCTTTTTTTAATTGGGGCAAAGCTCCTCAGATCGGTCTGTACGCAGTATTGGGTGTGTTTTCTGATGATTATTCTTGTGCCAACCTGGAGGATAGGTGATAAAAGAAGGAAGCTAGAGAAAGAGAAGGGCATTGTTGTCCGCTTTGTGATTGGTCACAGGTAGCTACTATATCTTTATGTCTAGGATGTTGCGGCATGATTGAATTACTTCGTGTTTTTGTTTCAATTTCAGTTAACATCAGCATAAAAGACATTAGCTGGATCACTATTCCTTCCAGCTACATCTTTAGTATTCAGATTTCCAGTTTGCTAATCATGCTCATCTGTATCTGTCGATTGCGACTTGTGCAATTCCGGTGTCTTTGTGATGTCTTCAAATGGATGAAATAAGCCATCATTACATCATTCGTAAAGTATGCTGAATGAATAATAAATTTAACCTGGTTTTTGCCCTTCTTTATGTAGTGCTACTTCGGGGGGTATCCTAGACAGAGCCATTGAAGCAGAGGACAACAAGCATGGAGATTTCTTGAGACTGGTATTTATTATGCCCCCCCTTTTGACTCATTGCTACTTCCCATCCAGATTCTACTCCTCTCCCCTTTGTTACTTGCATAATCTCTTGCCAAGCTAGTACTAGTATCATCTATGTCATTTTCAAGAGAAGACAGACAGCCACAGATTTACAAATCTGTGTACTTTGTCCCCGCAGGACCATGTTGAGGGATACCTAGAATTGTCCGCAAAGACGAAGACATACTTTGCGACTGCTGTTAAGTTATGGGATGCTGATTTCTATGTCAAAGTCGATGATGATGTTCATGTAAATATAGGTATATAAACTTTTACAAGCTTCAATAACCTGGATTTATGTTCCCTTGTTTTTCTTAGTTTGTGAGTCGTGAGCCGTGATTCATAACAAATTGAAGCTCTTGGCTTATTGAACATATCCACCAACGAAGCTTATTGAACATATCTACCAACTAAGCAAATAAATACACTTCCATAAATCTACAAGATCCGTTCCTGATTCCCGTGGGTTTATGCTTCCCTTGTATGCATGCATCATTTGTGCTTGATGAGATCTTTATCTTAAAGCTGTATTTAATCTGTTTCAGGAACACTAGGAGAAACTCTAGTTAGACACCGTCCAAAACCACGGATATACATTGGTTGCATGAAATCTGGCCCCGTCCTTTCTCAAAAGTGAGAACAACTTGCCTTTTATCTTTTGCTATTTGTGGAAGGATAGATTCAATTTCTAAGTTCTTACCTGCCTTGTCTGTTGCACAGAGGTGTGAGGTACCATGAGCCCGAATATTGGAAATTTGGTGAGAACGGAAACAAATACTTCCGTCATGCCACGGGACAGTTGTATGCCATTTCAAAAGATTTGGCTACATATATATCAAATAACCAGTAAGTCCTACTCCACCAAGCTTGTGAGATGTGAAAATGAAGAAAATGTAAGTGGAATCAAAATTTTGAGCTGAAGGGGTTTGAAATTATGATTGTCTCAGGCAAGTTCTTCACAAGTATGCTAATGAGGATGTCTCACTGGGAGCTTGGTTTATTGGACTTGACGTGGAGCATATAGATGATCGAAGACTTTGCTGTGGCACACCTCCAGGTGAATATTTTTGTTGACTGTACACTTTTCTGTGATCAGTAAATAATTGGATCGCATCAGTCTTTATCTGGTTCGAGGTTCTTACGAGAAGAATGGAGTTTTGAATTACTGAGTTGGTTCCTTTTGCAGATTGTGAGTGGAAGGCCCAAGCAGGCAATGCATGTGTTGCTTCATTTGATTGGACCTGCAGTGGAATTTGCAGGTCTGCCGAGAGGATCAAAGAGATTCATAGGCGATGTGGAGAAGGTGAGAAGGCGCTGTGGAAAGCCTCTTTCTAGGAGGCAACTTGCAGTTCTTCCTAACTCAGGAAGATTATCACCACGGTCCACGGCTATGAATCGTGGCTGCAAGATTTTTCTTTTTTTCTTTTTCCCCCTCTATTTTTTGTCAGTGAAATTAAAATATCATCTTACGAGAGAGAGAGAGAGAGAGAGAGAGGGCGCGTCCCATGGACATTCTGCATTTTAATACGAGAGATTGACCATGGTAGCGGCCAGAAAAGGGTATTGATGTAGTCAACACTCACACCAACAATTCTTTGATGCTTGAGGGGCCACCTCCTATGTTAATAGTTGCAAGGCTAATCAAGCTCCTAATAAATGCAGAGATATATTTGGCTGGGAGTGGCTGCCTCTCCTTCTGCCTTAATCTGATCTTTCTGTCTACCTACAAACTCTTCCAAGTTAATCTTAACGATCTTTCCGTTACATTTGCGTGTCAGTCTTCTTCCATTACTTGGATTTACCCTCCCAGCGTACTGAACCACTAAAAGGATAATTCCACTGCAGAACATATATTGCTTGAGCTTTCATGTTCGGTACACTCTTCAGTAAGCATTGCAAGTCCTTCATAGAATCTCAGGACGATTATGGCAACGCAAGGCTAAGATCTTTGGACAGATACAATGTGCCCGTCCGCTTTTTCTGACACCGAGTTAATGCAAGCCTAAAATTCTTCGAACCTCCCTCCGGAGTTAGGACATATGATACAATCCCCTTTTTTCTTTGGACCTTTTCTATGTTAGGGCATGATAACAGGTCAACAAAGACAGCCTAATGAGTGAATCTGAAAGTTGCTGAAAAATGCACGCCTAAGACCGGACGATCTTTTTTTTTAAAAAAAAAAAAAGGAAATTTGGAATACTATAACATAACGTAAGATGAAATTTGGAATTACGATGTTGGGTATGGTGAGAAAGGTCCGATCTCAGTTTAATATGAAACATTAAAAATAAAAGATAAAGATTATGATTGGGTTTGAGAAAAGTTATGAAAAAATGTTTAGTATGAGTAACTTTTGATTATATAAGATTAGATAATTTTATATAGATAGGATTGGAGAATACTACCTCTCTTTGTAATGTTTTCTAATCTCATGTACATGGATATGTTTAATACCACGAGCACTAGTACTAAACGCCTTTTTAACATAATTTTATAGTTACAATCCCAAGTCTTATTTATCTTTTTTAATGTTTCATACTACCTCCGGTTTTCAGTTGATTAATTTGAAAAGATTAAAAAAATAAGTTAAACTAATTATTTGTAATAAATAAATGTTATCTTTTCTAAAATACCTTTACTAATCAAGTGTATTGGTTAGAACAACTATTGTTAAAAAGATTATCTTAGAAAAAAATACTTAAATATAAAAAATAAAATAGATTAAAGTCTTATATTTATATTTAGGAACAAAATAAAAATCAAACAAGATTTTATATTAAGAAGCAGAAGTAATACTAAACGTGATATTAATATCCCTTTGGTCAAGGGATTAAGCACTGTCATAATGTAAGCTATGCCAAGTTACAGGAAACAAAGACGACGAAGGTACAAAAAGGAAAAATAGGTTGAGATGGTTTTCCATTGGGGGGGGGGGGATGGTACATATTTATTGCCGTAAATAGCAGGGCATGCACCGTCGGGAATATTTAACAAGGGCACATCTCCATGGCATGCGTTTGAGGAATCATCAACTGCTTATGTCCCACAAATCGTACTCAAAGCACTGTTCTAGAAAAATAAAATTACAGACTAAAATAATGTACACCGTCCTTAATATAAGCTAAAAGATTAATATTAATCATATATATAAATCTTATTTAATAATTAAGTATAGGAGTGAGGGAGAAAATTAAAAATAATATTTAAGATGTTTTGAAAAAATATATTATATTAAAAGTTTAATATTAAAGATTGAAAGAGTAATATTTAAGAAACTTCACTTTTTGTTCTTCAGTAACTCCAAGAAAGCTCAACAACTCATCAAACGTCATCAGGTGAGAGGTCAGCCCATATGAATTGGGAAAACTTGGCTCAAGATGACCTGACGTGACTCACCCAACCCGAAAACAACCTGGTTAAAAAACCAATTTAGTGGGTTAGCCTAGTTGATAATTATAACTTAGCGATTGAAAAATTGTATGAAGAATATTTTGTTATCGTACATCTATTCTAATATTTTACTAAGATGAATATTTAGTAATTTTGTTGCATAATATTATGATTTTAATTTGCCAAAAGAGTTGTATGGAAGATTGGAAAAATATTGTTAGTATATAATTGTTTTATTAGTGATTCAAGTTAATAAACTAATATTTAATCCATATGATATGAAAATTTAAATTATTTTTTATTTTTTATTTTTTTCATCAGTTTGACGGTTGACTCCGATCTAAAACCTAACCCTGCCTCAACCGATCATCCCTAACCCTACCTCAACTGGTCTGATTTTTAGCATGATATATTTTTATAAATTTAATTTAGAAATAAATTTAAATAAATTTAATTATTTTTTCATTCTTTTATTTTTTCCATATTAAAATTTTATAACCTTACTTTTTCAGTATTTTACTCGTTAAAATTTTATCTTTCCTCCATTATCTTCATATCTGACATTCCCTATTTGCGAGGCAAGTTAACTCAATGAAAACGCACATCACAATTGCGTTGCATTCAATAGTTTTCCTCCTTAATCGGACAAACATGAAAAAGTTATCTTATTTATATCTTGAGATTCAACTAGTTCATCAAATTTTAGTTTTTGCCCACAATAAACAACAGAATGTTCAAGTGGCCTCAGCTATCGAGTCATTCAAAATTCAAAACAAATCACAGCCAAAATATGGGATATCGCTTAATCAATTTCTTTTCTACACGGGTCAATCTAGCCATAACATGTGAAACATATAGACACCACAAAAAAAAATACATACTTAGAACTGACTATAAGTTAAGTACAAATATAAAAGAAAAAAAAATCACAGATTTAAAAATGGCTTCTGTGAGTTCAGTATTCAAGGTTGTCATTACGAAAGCATCCTCAATTCTTGAAGTGTTGGTCTATATAGAGAAGAAGGCAACACTACCCATAAGATAAAATAAAATGTGTGAATACTATATGCAGAGGAAGGGAGAAGAGAGTGCCAATGGATAAAGAACCGCACAAGGCACTTAGCCAAGATGTTGATTGGACTCAACATGAAACTTGAACAGAACTTTGGTGTTACTTTCATTTAACTTCCACCAGTTTCTTTCCAGAAAGGTGATTCATCGCTTGAAAAGAATTCGTTTATTGCCAGGAAATCGCAGTGAAGTAATGACATTAACATGAAACCAAACAGACAACGTAAAACAAGAAAAAGAATACCAGAAGAACAGGCGCCAAGGTGGCCGGGGGAGCAGTGGCACGTGATATTGGCACGGCTCAATCAAAAAGCAGAGCCCCCTCACCATCTAGAGCATTGCTTTCTTATTGAACCGCACCAATATCCCGTGAAGCCTATCCTTCACCCCCCCTCCTCTCCTCCTCGCCATGCAAGTTTTCACTGTTCCAGATAGATAATCACAGACTCATTTCAAGCATCAATCTTTTGATGAAAAGCTCATAAAAGGCCTTCTCTGAGAAGTGGGAATTCACGTACCATCGTAAGGGTGGGGATGGGAATGACAGCGAAGTATGAATGGAGAAGAATCACAGCATGGAGGTTAAGGAGTTTGATGTACAGAACAGAACAGAGAGGTAGCGAGAGAGAGAGAGAGAGAGAGGGAGGGAGCAGGAATGAATGAAGGTTTCAAAGGAAGAGGGTAGGGGCCAACATAAGAGAGCACGAAACATGGCAGGTGATGGGGGCATTGAAGGAGATGCATTAAATTCCCAACCACCTCACAACTAAGGAAGTTGGAATATTAATTTAAGGAGTACAGGAATCGTGATATGGGTTAGAGCAGACGAATCTGGAGCTTTTAATGCCTGCATTTATGGGTCCTGGGAGAGAGTGAGAGGGATGTTGGTTCGGTTCATCACTTCATCACCATGCCCTCTATATGGAATTATGGATCAAACTCTCCAATTTCAAATTCAAAATGAAAATACCATAACGCAACAAACAACCTTTTGCTTTATGGGTTTTGGTTTTTGCAACTCAATTGTCATCAATCACCCTGATCGCCTCCTCTCTGACAAGGCATTTGGTAGGTTCCATTAGAGCTTTCGATATTGGTTGACTAATTGATCGTTTTCTCAAGCTTGGCCTTAATTGAACAGGCACAGGAACGGGTCGGAAAGCTTGCACAACATTTACTATATCTCTGATTTAATTTCTTCACATGTTTCTGAAAGACCATAAATAATTGTCCCAAGCAGTAAATTAAGATATAAAGTAAAGGACTGATGAGCTTACATCCGTGTAAGTTTTCCGAAATGCCTCTCCGTTGCCCGTAATTGTTTTCTTGTAAAAAGTGTGGAATAATAAGAACTAGCTAGGCATGTCCACGAGTTCTGCTAAAACTAGCTGAGTTATAATTTCTTTCGGCTTACTGTATTTTATATTTTGTTGGTTTTGGAATTGGATATCAATGACCTGACCGAATCTTCCTGCTCCAGAGAAAAGCCTCCGGCTTGTTGTCAATTTAAGTAATCTTTGACAAATTTTTTTTAAAAAAATCATGCTATAAAACTTCTATTTAACAGAAATATGACCTAATCAAATAAAAATTGGTCAATATATTAAATAATTTGTCACAAACATTGGAAAAAAGGAAAGATTTGAAGTAAAAACCTTCAAATTGCGCATACGATATCTTCTATAAAAAATAATTATCTTTTAGGATATTACTCTACCATTGACCAGGTTCCATTGACCAGCTGTTCGGGGTGGGGCATATCAGCTATACTTACTTGCAGATTGCTTTTTTTTTTTTTTTTAAAAAAAAGACCTTGACTATATAATATCTATAAATCTGAACATGATTTATGTACACTGTATAGCTATGTACAAATAAATAAGTTTTGTAAAGAAAAATAAAATATGCAGATAGTTATCAGCAAAACCTATTTAGGTTCCAATTAATGTCGTGGTTTGGGATTAACCGATGAAGAAAGTATCAGTTGTGGAAGGGGGCAAGTGAGCAGCCACCATCGTCTATTATGGAGTTTCATGATTAGACGGATGCGCATAAAACGCACAAGTTTCTCTTTGAGCGCTACAACCTTTTCAAGATACTAAATTAGGCAATTCTTACTCTCAGGGTAGATAAACATTTCTTGCTTCTTGTTTGCCCACATGGAGTTGGTTTCATTTTCTACCTTGACTTGGTTTTAATTTGCTTGTACGAGTTTTTTTTAAAAACTTAGATCCTGAGGGAATAGCAAGGCCTAGTTTCTGCCAATCATATGTGCAGATGCGTAAATTTCACCTCCTCATTGGCAGAGCACCATTACTAAAATGGAAATGGTAACCTCGATCATAGAAGAAGATTCAGAAAAGTATAGTCGGAGATGAAAATAGAAAACGATGACTTGGCAGTAAATTAGCATTCCATTAGGGAGCAGAATGAGGGTTTAGTTAAAAAAAAGAGGAGCATGGGGGGTTCACCCACTAAAACTACCAGCAAGAGAAAGCCAGACATTTATTACTAAACCGCGTCAAAACTCAGGACTAAAGAAGGCTTTGATGTATGTGTGTGTCCATTTGTAGCAAGGTCCCAGCAGCCTGAACAAATCAGGACTGTCCACCTATAATAGCTACGTTTCTTCTGTTTTTCTTTTTTCAGGGGGAGGGGCGATTAAAGACTAGGAAGCTAAACGTTTTTACTTGCATGAAATCGAAGTAAGTTGAGAGATGCTATATATATATATATATAGAGAGAGAGAGAGAGAGGTAGTATAATACTATCAACGGGGGGCATACTTGTGGGAGCAGAGTAAGAAAAGGAGGCATCTACGGATTATGTAAAAGCGGCCCCTATACTCCTTTAGGGTTCTCATCAAACATGTCTCCCCGCAGGATCCTCTGCTGTAATATTGCTGCTCATCACCTTCTCGTCTCTGGGCGCACAAACACCTTCCCATGTTACTACGAGATGGAGGCCTCGTCCAGCCCAGGCTTCTATATATAAAGAGAGAAATGGGAAGATTGTGAAAAGCGTGGCGTGAGATTAAAACAAGCCATGCCAACATGAAGCTAAGTACGGTAAAGCGTGAAGGAGCAAAGGGCGGTGAAGGGTCGGTTTAGAAGGGGCGACCCAACCTCACGACCCGTCACCACAAGGCCCACACTCGCAGACTCTCTGTCTGTTTTTGGGCCCACCTCTTATGACTAGTCACATGAAGATCACCAGTTTGATCTTTCTTGTATTTTTAGGTAGTTAATGTCTATTCTTCTAATTAAAAATATTTTTAGTTTTTTTTCCTCCTAATTTTTTAATACCATATCGTATTTCCACAACTCTTGGATTACATTCCATTATTCTTAGATCCAATCAAAGTAGATTTGCTCAAGGCTTTTTTACATTCACATGAAATTTAACCTAAAAGTTTATGCTTAAAGATCTACTAATATAGAGTCACTCGTTCCAATAGAATCAATACCTATTTGTCTCATTCCTACAAAATTTATTTTTAAATTCAACACCGAATTATTTGCTTAAAAATAACGCGCTGTATTGTTACTGTTTTAATAAAAAAACACTATATTTAAAAGATAAAGAATCAATAACTGAACTAAAAATTATAAAAAGTATACGCATGTTTTATTATTATTATTATTATAAATTATACATATATTTAGTAGGGTATTTCAATTCTGTAATTTAAATATATATAATGCATATAAGTTTATTTTCTTACATTTTGCAGTACAATTTAATGATTTATAGTCCCCCCACTCCCCCAGAAAGCACCCCGGGAATGATGGATTAAAATGGACCTCCAATAACCACAGGCCACAGCGGCTCAGGCCCAAAAAGAAAAAGGCGCTCGCGCGCACACAGGCAGCGTATGCAAGACGGAAGTCGGAACGTAATTAACAAGCTTTTCCTTAACTTGCAGTCGAATTCGTCCTCTGGGCGTTCGCTCGATGTGATTATTCTGGAGTTCCTCCAGCTCTACTCGTTTTCTCGCTCGTTGCCGTTCTTTTTTCGTCTGGTTAGCATTACTGGTTCACCCTTGTGTTTTAAGTTAATTTGCTCTTCCTTCCTTTGTTTGATTGATCAATCGCTCCATTCATAGAAAACCCTAACTCTGTTATAAGGTATTTACCTGTTTTCATTCTCGCAGACATTGCCATGGCAAAGAGTTCGTTCAAGATGGAGCATCCCCTTGGTTTGTTTTTATCTTTTTTTTCTTTTGTTCCCGTTTCTTTAATTTTGGTTATGTTTTTTAGATTGTTGGATAGGATTTCGTATATGAGAAATCTGTATTTTGTTCGAGCCAGTTTGTAGACATCGGCCTTTTTATTTCCTTGTTGGAATTTGTTAAAATATGAAATTTTGTTTCTATCTCATAATTATCCAAAATCTATGTATTAAAGTGCGAAATTTCATTTGCGAGACTTAGTATTTTGGAATCCCAGTGCTCGTCCTTTTCTGGGGAAAAAAAAAGATACAAAGTTTTAATCAATCGAGGGTTTCTTTCCCCGCGCTGGTTCCATCTACCTTGGGCAGAAATGTTGAGTTTGTGCATTGAAATATATATACTTGGTGCCCGAAATAGTTTTGAATGGGGTCGGTTGTTAAGGTGTGGGTTATACCATTTTATTGCTTACTGGTGTTTTGACATATATGTCATCTTGTTTTTATCCATATGAAGCTTTCTAAAAGTCTGTATCGAATAAACGTCATCCCTAGCTTCGTTAAGGCTTTCAAGCCCCCCCTCTCTGTTTGTCCAACTTCTGTTCAGTATTAAATATACAAATATTATGTGGCAGAAAGGAGACAGGCTGAAGCGGCTCGAATTAGAGAGAAGTATCCAGATAGAATACCAGTGAGATTTCATTTCAGTTGTGTGAATTTGTCATTGTATTCTTACTTATTGCTTATTAAATTGGTTGATATTTTGGCATAGGTGATTGTTGAAAGGGCTGAAAAGAGCGATGTTCCTGAGATTGACAAGAAAAAGTTAGTTTCTGCCTCTGTTTTACTCTTTAACATGGCCTATTGCATGATCTGATGTTTTGTAAGCGTGCACTGATTTGACAGCGTTCTCATGGTGTTCAATGCAAGGAGCTTTGCTCTCAGCAGTTTGGTCAGAATGTCCAAATCTGGTCTTACTAGTTTTCGCCTGCACTGATCTTAACTCTTAATGGATCTTCCCTCTAATTGTTAGACCTCTTAACATAGCGTCCTTCCTAGAAATGAATGAAGCATCGCAATTGATCTTTGACTTAATCCAACCAAATGTTCTACAGCCTTTTTTAAGCATGGAAGAAATAGTATTCTTTTAGTATTATCTCTCATAGATGCTTTGAATTCTCTTGGCAATCAATCCTGAGTGTTCTATGTTCTGTTATGGATGTTAGGATCAGGATGACCTACGTTCACCTTTTATATATCTTGTTTCACTCCCTTTTCAATTTTATTTATTGTATAAAACTTTTTCCCCTGTAGGTATCTGGTTCCGGCTGATTTGACTGTTGGCCAGTTTGTGTATGTAGTTCGGAAGAGAATCAAGTTGAGTCCTGAGAAAGCCATCTTCATTTTTGTCAAGAACATTTTACCTCCAACTGGTAAATTAAGCAGGACTTTTCTGTATTCATTTTGTTTGAGTGGTGGGTATTTTTGTTGGTAATTTGTGATCTGATAAAGTGGTTTCTGTCCATGTAGCTGCTATTATGTCTGCGGTTTACGAGGAAAATAAGGATGAAGATGGATTCCTGTATATGACTTACAGCGGGGAAAACACATTTGGGACTTTGATCTGAATTATGGCGTGCAGCAATCCATGTAAATACGTCTTCCCAAAAAGAAAATAAATAAGCTGTGGGAAGAAGCTAGTATGGTTGTAAATTCTTCTGTATTTTTAACCTTGTTTTTCTTTATGAATACTGCGGCTTTTTCTGAAACGACTGTAACAGGATATTGAATATAGGCTTGCAATTGCATTCAGATGTAAGATTATGCCGGAGGGGTACTATTCGCATCAAGTCCTGTGCGACAATTTATGAATTTATTTAATTTTAATATGTTAAAAACATGTCATTGCTCATCATGTTCATTATTGAGAAAGTTGCGTAAGCCCTTAACAGAAATTAGTAAATTACATCTGAATACCTACCAAAAAGAGAAAAATAAATTAGATGCGAATAAATGATACTTAGTTGAAACACGCTATGGTTTGTATTTAATTTGATTGGGAAAGTAGTGCACGAAAGCGAGTTCTGCCGGCGTTGAAAGCCGTTAAAAAATCAAGGGATGGCAAAGTGGAGAAGTGCTACCGATGCAACTTGAATTAAAAGATTAATTAATCAAGGATATGACATTCGAAATGCGAAGTATTCAGGTAAAATAAGAAAAAATACGTTCATGTTCAAGTAAAGTCTGAAGCAAAATTAGATCTCTAGTGCATATGGAAAGGCCAGTAAAAGCTATAAGAAAGAACAAAAGACAGTCGGAGGAGGATGAAATTATAGGCATGGTGGAATCACAGTGTCGGAAGGTGGAGGGAGAGAATGGGGAAGGTTCACTTGGAGGAAGAAGCCCTCTTTTGATATTGATTCTTGACCCATTTGAGACCAGCGGAGGTGCCGCTCTTGAGTTTCATGGCTCCCACTACTGCCGCCTCCTTGGCTTTGTCAGCGCCCACCACTGCCGCCGCTTTGGCTTTGTCCATTCCCGCCGATGCTTTTGCTTTCGCATCGGCCATCTTGCTGCTGCCGCTTCGCTTCTTCACCTGCTCATTCTCGTCCTCACTCCCGAACCCACCCGCTCCCCACTGGTCTGCCCAATTCGGAGCTTTGCTTCCCATTAGGTTCTTCTTCGATTCCAAAAAATAAAAAGCTAATCAATAATTATGCATGCTAATTGAAGACTATGGACAACTAACAATAGAATATCAAAGGAAATTGAGTAAATAATCATTCATTAGCTTATTTGGAGTGCAGGTAGCAATAAATTCAGTCAAAAACACCTAGTCCAAGCCTGGGGGAGTGGATTGTGACATCCGATATGAGAAATCAACGAGATTTGTTTATAAAAGCTTGGCCACAGCCAACAGAGAAATCGAGGGTTTATGTTGGGGAAGATTTCTTGGGTTTTCAAAGTGGGATCTATTCACCCAAAGGCCAATATACCATTCGGCGGATTGCATGATGGATTCGTGCTTGAAAACATTGGCGAGGGTGAAGGGAAAAAGGAATTACGACGTGGTTAGAAAAGAGGGAACAAGTGAGACGGAGGAGTCCAGAATCCAGAAAAATCAAGAGCGGGGAATGAACAGAAGAGAGAGGGGTAAATAAGGAGAGAGAAGAGATAAAACAAACGGTGAATATATACCTTTGGTGGGGATGATCTGGAGGAACGAGGAGGGTGGCGGAGGGCCCAAAGAAGCTCCGACAGCAAATGAAGGAACTGGGAAGATTGATTGATTTGAGAGGATGGGTGCAGGTAGATTTGGAGTTTGGCGCGTGCGAGGGAAAAAGACTTGCGCTGGTAAATATATAGATAATAATAAATGGGCACAGGTCAGCACGCGGTGGGATCACTTTCACAGTTTCACTGCCTTACGTGTGCGAGCGGAAAAGAGGATTCCTCTTCCACCACGCCATCTCTCTCTTTCTCTGATTTTGTCTATTTCATAATAATTCATATCGCCAGTTTTTTGACCAGTAATGTAATTCAAATCGCCATTTACTCCCTTTGTATTTAGATATTATTTCATCTAAAAAAATTATCTATAGATGAATAAATCCCAAAAAGATAATGAATACATTCAATTAACCCTTTTCCAGTAAATATTAAAAATCGATAAATATCACTATCAGATAGAATTTTTTGGCTGATAAAAAATATTGCTTATATAGTTTTTTTTTTTTAAATGCAGATCTTTGATTTCCCCTGATTCTCTTCTAATTAATCTTCTAGATGCAAATCTTTGGTCCTCGCAGAGACAGAGAGAGTCAGATATATATATATATATATATATATATAATATACACGCCTGTCACGTCAATATGATTATTCTTAGTAATGGTTTCTTTTTTCTTCCCAAAAAAATAAAATCCTCTCATTTTAATTTACCTGTTCCCTCAACTCCTCAGTGTAACACTAATAAGAATTGGTGTGGTTAATAAGAAATCAGTTCATATCTTATAAAGAGACATTCTCTGATTCTGATAAGTCTCCGAGACCAACTTATCTAAACTTTTATTTACCAAAAAAGGAAGGAAAACAAACCTCATCATGGTAACACTTTTTTCGTTTTCAATTTTCATTTTAGTTTGATTTCTCAGTATAAGAGTTAGTTTGATATTTAATTTAGTTTTAAATAAGACTACAATCTATTTTGTGTCTTATATTTTTTTAAGGTAGTCCTTAATTTTTTATAGTTGTTGTATATGTTAAAATTTTATCCATTTGTAGTTCTAACTAATACGTGTAATTAATAGAGATATCTTAGAAAAAATAGTACCTATTTATTACAAATAACTAATTTAATTAATTTTTTAAATTTATTTTAATTAATTAACTAATTCTTATATTAAATACCGTGTATATAGATTTTATCTCTTATCTAATTTCAAGGGGAGAATAAGATAATAACATTGTTAGTCCAAAAAATATGGCCGAAACGAAAATTAGTATGAAGCCTTAGCTGTTGGAATTGAACGTCCAGTTTTATACGTCAAATTTGGCCCCGAAAAAAAGTCTGAGACGTCAAATTTCTTATTTTTAAAAGAAATCACTCATAATATTTCCGATATATTCCCCTTTTGTTATCGCCTCAATCATCGATAATATTTAAGGTGATATTTCAACCAACATGATCGGAAAAACAATATGATTCACATTTCAAATCCTAAAAAAATAATCACAGAGATTTATACTTTCACAATTAAAAAATATGTATCCATAACTTGAAAATGCAAAATGCTTATCCTCTTGTTGGTTTTTTTTCAAATTGAATTTATAATAAGCTTATAATATAAACGAATTAAATATATTGGAATTAAAATCACATTTAATTACTCCCTCCGGTCCGTTTTATAATATACAATTAACTAAATCACATTATTTAAAAAATTAGTTAAAATTAGTTAGGTGCAATAAATATGTAAAGAGTGTAACGTTTTTGCCAACAATACCCTCATTTATGTGGAAGAGAGATAATGTGTGGGGGAGAGAATGAATAGGAATTAAATACAATTATATGAGTAATATGAGTAATTAAATAGGGATAAAATAGGAAATTAACACATAAAATTTGAGACAACCTATAAGTGTCTCTTATAATAAGGAACATGATATACTTTACAATTGCCTCTCATAATAAGGAATAGAGGGAGTAATATTTAATTTCTTAGTTGTGTTAAGTGGGGCCAGGAAAAAAAAATCCCAACTTACTATTTATGTATAGAACTGATGATTCCGAGTACCAGCTGCTGGAATAGCTCAGTTGGTTAGAGCGTGTGGCTGTTAACCACAAGGTCGGAGGTTCAAGCCCTCCTTCTAGCGATTTATTAATGTATTTTTCGCATCTTCATTTTTCAACCAGGGACCCGCAGTTAAGGATGAAAAAATGCCTGCTTCATAATGACCTTCTCCGCAACGGACAAAGTGCCAAGTCTCAGACAGGGGTCCTTCTCTCGTAGCTGCCTGTCAAATTTTACTGGGCAGACTGGCAAGGTCGCCTGCTCACATGATATCTTCTTTTGGGGCAAGCCGCAATGCACCTGCGCTCCTGTGTAGTTCACGCCATTCGGCAACTAACTTGCGATAATTCCCATTACCAGTTTTCTGATCTTGGCTATTAATTGATACAGGGGTATCCCTATATGTATAGTTCATCTTTTTCTCTCACCAATGCGTCCCCTTCAATTTTTTAATTTTACCAGACTGATTAAATGAATTGGAAATTATAATGACTTCAATTTGCAGGTACTTCCCAAGCGTATCTGAACAGTGTTGGTGGGAAGATGCTTGAAGCTGTACTTAATCATGCCAACAATTACGCACGCACGCACTCCTCTTTGCGGAATGATATCTCAATATGACAAGGTAACAATATTCATGAATCTCCATTCATATCTGCTGTATCACCAACCTGCGTTTCTTTCCTTTTCCTGCAATAGTTTCAAGTAACACTAATTTACAGTGTGAAAACGAATGTGCGGACAGAAAGAGAGGGAATGATCGGGGAATCTGGCGGACATGGTGTAGAAGGTGGTAAGGATACGATTTACTGATGAGCACCCAATGCTCATCAGATCTGGACCGTCCAGATTAGATCTGAACGGTCCAGATTTATTTTTTATTTTTTAAAAAATAATTATTTTAATAGGTATAGGATAAAAAATAAAAATAATCTCTTAACTATCATTATTTAAAAATATAATTTTTTTATTTTAAAATAATTATTTAATAATATTAAATCTGGACCGTTCAGATTAATCTGGAGATCTGGACAGTCCAGATTGCTCATCAGGTCATCACCTGATGAGCACCGAATGGGGACCCGGTGAGGATATGGAGGGCCTTATGCTTGCTTCTTGTTTGCATCGCTCTGGGGACTCGGCTGCCGCAATGGAAGGACGCGTCGAAGAAGGGAAAGTGTGGTCCAACAATATAGTAGAGTCAACTAACTGGGAATTGAAAGAAAGTTGGCAAAGTGATTGTTCAGGTTAAGCCCGGCATTTGATTAATACATGCTTTTTATTCATATAATGTTCGAACCTTATTTCTTCTGTACCTTTGTATGAAACTTGGTTGTTTCACGCCTACGAAGTATGAACTACGTACGACGGGTTGGCGTACGCAAAAAGAGTTTACTCTCGTGATATCCACTGTCTACCTCTTAACATCTGGATAATCAGACGTCTCCCGCCATTTAGCTGGAAAGGAAATTATCAAAAATAATGTGTGGGGGCTCCAACCCTGAACTTCGTGGAGTCCCGTTTTGAAAGGAAAAAAAAAACGAAAATCACTGTCTTCGCTGCGTTCACTGTTCCGCATGGTGGGCATACTAGGAAACAGAATATCGCACTCCAGAAAAAGTCATAAATATTATTGTGCAGTAGAAATTAGAAAGATGAACATAAAATGTCTCTATCATATTAGTTTTTAAGACCAGGTACGTAATAGCTTAGGTTAACTCCGCCTATGTTGTATAGCCGGTCCCAAGCCCGGATAAAGGAGGAGGGTTGTGTTAGGCCCTCGACAGCCAACGTAAAAACCCGTCGAATCTCATGAACATGGATCAACGAAGTAATTATGCTAATGCTAGGTCGTTGCCCAGATGTGACGCGCTGTATGGCTCGAGTACAGTGAGAAATGAGCTAGAGCCACTGCATCGTCGCCCGGATATAGTGTTAAATGAGCAAGGGCTACCGCACTCTCTTGGACGGAGGCGGCTAAAGAAGTTAGTTCATGAAACTGAAATTAGATTTGGCACTTGGAATATTGGGACGTTAAATGAGAAATCTATGGAAGTAGCAGGAGTTATGAGGGACAGAAGGATTAATATCTTATGCCTCCAAGAAACCAAATGGACTGGAGAAGCTGCCAAGGAACTTGGAGAGTATAAACTTTGGTACACAGGAAAGGTGAGCACAAGGAATGGGGTTGGTATCATCGCTGATGGGACATGGAAAAAAAACGTGGTAGAGGTTAAAAGGTTTGAGGACAGAATAATATCGTTAAGAGTAATTGTTGGAAAGGATACTATCAATATCATTAGTGCCTATGCACCTCAGGTTGGGGCAGAGACACACCTTAAAGATAAGTTTTGGGAAGATATGGAGGGCTTGATTCAAAGCATACCACTCGAAGAAAAAAATTTTATTGGTGGGGACTTTAATGGACATGTTGGTAAAGAAGTAGGACAATTCAGTGGGGCCCATGGTGGTTTTGGTTTTGGGGAGCTTAATAGTGGAGGACAATCTATTCTCGATTTTTTTCTTGCATACGATCTTAAGATTGTCAACACTTGTTTTAAGAAGCGAGAGGAGCATTTAATCACGTATAAAAGTGGTGTCTCAAAATCACAGATTGATTTCTTTTTGTTAAGAATCCGGACAGAAGATTGTGTACTAATTGCAAAGTGATTCCAGGAGACGGGGTGAGTGCCCAACATAGAGTACTTATCCTTGATGTATGTTTTAAGAGTACCAGGCAAAAGTACCATCAAGTGGCAAAACCCAGGATTAAGTGGTGGCAGTTAAAAGGAGAGAAGCAGGAGTTATTCAAAAGGACTCTTTTGAAGGAAGGGAATTGGGAGTTGCAGGGAAATGCAAACATGATGTGGGAAGAAATAGCTTCAAGGGTTCGTTTGGTAGCTAAAGCAATTTTGGGAGAATCCAAAGGTCCTGGTCAAAGAGATAA